GGGGGGGGGGAGTTGTAAGTTTTCCCGAATTTGTATGGAGGATTGTAATGAAATAAGTTGAATTTAATATTTTTTGTGATAAATTTGCCAGAATGTTCTTGAATTTTTCTAGCATTTGCCCAAATTTCCATGGTTTTCCAAAGTTTGGGAGGTGGGGAGGTTGCCCCCTTTGTCCCGTACACCTATGCTAGCACAGACTTATGTATGAAGGTCGTCTTGAAGGATAGTTCGTCTTTGCATATCAACACAACCTCAGGCGAGCTATCGGAGAATTTAGCTACTAAATCTGGTTGCTCGCACCAGTGGCAAAGCTAGGCACAGCAATATCCTAATATGCTATGAAAATTCTTTTAAAATGATTTGCATTCTTCAAAGCTTTAGAAATGTATTATTATTATTATTATTATTACAATATTGCCTGCTCCCAAAAGGGCTTTTCAGCAGGTAATTACAAATCATTTATATACTACAAATGCTCTAACCTATTTGGGTGCAGGTTTATTAGCATAGTATGACCAGTTTCTATAGCTACAATGCTGGCAAGAATTATTGTGGACAGCGCGCGCGGAATTAGAAATACCTGCCTTGCCCAATACATACGTGCAAAAACAGTTTTTAACAATTTTTAACTTCTCCCTCCCATCCCGTTCAATGTTGAAAGCCTAGAAATTGGTCAGGTGAAAGCTTTGTGAAATGCATGACAAAACCAACATTGTAGGGGGGGGGGGGGAGAGAAAGACGCCAACATGTGTATATGAACAGTAATACTTTAATAAGTTCTTTGTAAGTTTGTATGGCGATAAAACAGTATAATAGTTTTGTTTGTGGAAACACCACGTAATACCTACTATTATATAGTAGTACTTTAGTTTAAACCTAAGTGTCCACGGAATTTTTGCCATGATTGTAGCTTCGCCACTGTTATATAAAGAAGATTGGGAGGCTGAGCATTGGCAATCAAGAAAGCCTTATCAACTCTGAGTTCTTGGCGGTGGACTAAAAATATACACGCTCTGGTAGTGAGGTTGATATCCTTCTATGAGATTAGGGCACTAGCATATTCTGTTTACTCGTTTAATCGACTGATGAGAAATTTGAAAAGTGGCTGATATATACAGTATATAACCATTGTTGCTCTAAAAGTAATCATCTACTTGGCTACTGAAAAAATGTAGTTCCTTACAACTAGCTATACTGTTTTAAAAAAGTGGTCAAAAACTACTCGCTACTTGAAAATTGTAAGTACAACTAATTCGCTACTACCCAACAATATCATAAGCGTGCGGGCCTGACACCTTCCAGGGGGGGGGGGGCAATTGAACGTTTGCCTGAATTTTTGTCAGATATTGAAATGAAATTACCAAAATTTAACGTATTTTGTGATATATTTGCCCAAATTTTCTTCATTTTCCCTATAGCATTCATCCGAATTTGCATGGTTTTCATGGCAACTGCCCCTGCCCCTTGTCTCGTACGCCTATGCCCACCATTGATCAGCACTGTCAGGGGCGGATCTAGGATTTTTCGTACTTCAGTCAAATTTTTTTTTGGTGGACAGGGCGTTATCAGCGCTGGGCGTGGTCTCGACTGGGCGTGGTCGACTCCAGGCGGGGGGGGGGCGCTAAATATTTTTTATGCTGATAGTCCGCCACCGGATTTTTAGAATTTTCCGTATATAAAATGCGATTTACCTGCTACACACCTATTAACCTAAATCCTAATTAACCAAATTATGAAACATATTTAGATTGGATTAATAAACTCAAACGAACATTTGATGTTAAGTCAAAGATGTTAAGTCAAATATTAATAAACTAAACCCTTACAATTAATATTTATTTATTTATTTAACTTCGCAATTATCATGCATTCATGGCAGGGTCACCACAACAGTATATGTTACCAATTACTGTGGGCCCTTTAATTTTAAATAGATAATAAACACAACGAAAACTTCGATTTACCTGATCAAAGTCATCACACGAATTGAAGCCAAGCAAACAAATTCCTCGAAGTTTTCGTTGTATTGTATTTCACAAACATACTTAATTAGCTGCTTGCAAATTTTATAAAACATATAACAATTCATAGAATATCAAATAGCTATTGAAACATAACAAACAAGGCTAGGAAGACCTGACAACTTCGAAAAATAGATCAAAACAGTAAAGAACCTGGACGTGCACAAATTGACACAAATCTATCCAAATTTAGACAGAACATAAAATAAAGTCTATACTGTGGTTTATATATATTGAACACAAAATATACTATTAATAAATTAGTAACATCAGAATGACTACCAGTCAATGAGCTTTTCAAGCTACCTAATAAAATATTTCACATCATCATGTTACATCAGACCATAGTTAGACCAATGCGGTCTAACAAGCCATGTCGATAGGCTATGGATAAACCAATACACGTATACGCGTTAATAACGCGTACATGTGTGATATAAATAAAACTTCACTAACACGAGAATCAACAAATGCTTACAATGTAGACATTGAATATTAACATATTTTAGCTTTTTGATGCGAGAATTATGCTAATACAGCAATGCATGCAGCTAGCGAATATATTAAAATATCATATGTCAGACAATCATTAACAACACCGATGGCTTGGTACTCCGGTTTATAAACCTTTAATGTGAACTGAAGATACATCACTCTAAAACCATAATTTATCTATCTACCTTATTGCAGTGCAAGCTTTGTCTTTCTCTAGCAGTAGCTCTCTCAGCCTCTCTGCGCCAAAATTTCTAGCGAGGCTTCTGCTTGTGTTGTCGCTGGCGCCACTCAGTGGCTTGTAAACAAAATTCGTCCGTGAGGCATCGATATTCTTTTCAAGCTCCGTATACAAACGTACGTTGTATAGAGATTCAAAATCGTTTGCCGCAATCGCAAACTGAACATTGTCGAAAATGTTTCCAGATATCGCTGGTAGGCCTAGAAATCGCTCGTAATAGTAAACGTTCGAAATGTTAAACTCAGTGGTAAACACAATATTGCCGTGTTGACGAATACCTCACGCTGCGAATCCGTCGAAAATATAAGCCAATGACAGTGCAGAATTTTTTTTAAATGGTTCAATCAGAAGGCTCATACAGAGCCCCTGAATCTGCAAATCAGTCAGGCCTCCCCACAGATCCGTCGCAAATGGCCGTAGCCATGGAAATGAGCGTGTTAGCCAATCAGATAGCCAGATTTAACCCCCGAATCCGTCAACTTTCATGCGTAAGACCGCTGTTCGTGACTGACTAACATTACTTTGCCGAAGCTCTGCCGCAGCATGAAATGTATAACTGGACTACCGGTACGATTCAAAATTTTAGTAACTCGATCTACTGGCCACTATAGATAGTTGGAGTCAAATTTTGGGAGCGGGCAATTTTTACTTCAGTCGCGCGACTGATTTGACGACCCCTAGATCCGCCCCTGAGCACTGTGTATTGGTACGTTCGTTTTTGTATTTGTTCCGTGACATGTTAGTATTCCCAAGCGTCCAACGCCTGCTCGATCTTGTAATTTTTCCCATTTCCTGTCTGTAACCATAAGTGGATGACATTTTGAGGAGTAAAAAATGACTTGGAAAACGAGTGCAAGAGCATTCACGACCAAGATTGCTACATACCATCCCAGTAATTCGTCTTTCTTCTCGCCTATGATCGCACTGTTGCCACCCAAACCGTGAAATATCAAGAACAGGCACGGTATGCCTATTAATGCAAAACCATTGCTACATCTTATGTCTCCTGGTATAGAATTAATTCCGCGTACTAACGTAGGATGAGTAGGAAACGTGAAAGATCAGTGGATAAATGGTTAAAAAAGACACAATTAATGTGCACAAGCATACTGAAACGACAAAAAACCAGTGCACACCAATATAAGCCAACATCAAGCTGCTGAAGGCTATTGACAGCCCAACAAATGCCGAGAGTCTACCCAATAGGAGAAGCGTTTGCCAAACGACGAAAACAACTGCCGATCTTTTTGGAAAGTTTACTGGCCTTATGTAGTTTTTGTTGCGTATGACAATTTCCCGGATCCAATAATTTTTTTCGAACGAGTAAATGCTGACAAGTAAGGACAAAAATGACAAGGCAACTGATAATATCGCATACCAAGGATATTATGACTGTTTACCAAACATCACATAAACTTGGAGTGCCCATTGTGGTACGGCTTCTGTGAATGCTTCCATGGAACGAACGTATGACATATCTAGGGATGCTCTAACACTTTCCTCCAGTTGCTTCTTGCACGTATCGCAGTCACATTCAGAAAAATGTTTTCGACTGCCGCAGGGATAAGCTTTATCGCCGCCACTTTCCTTTTTACAACGGCAGATTTCACCAATAAAGTGATGGATCATTGAAAAGTGGGTGAGACAATCTAAAACTCGTACTTTGCACGAGGCGTTTAATGTGGCCGTCGCATAAATATTCACAAGAACGGCAGATAAAACGATAATGTAAACTGTGACGTAAGATAACAGTTCGTCACCATTCCTGTGATGTTGAACCGCGACGTAAACATCAGTTGCTAGGTCAACGAGATACAAGACTAAACTCACAACCAAACTGTAGAAATGAAATTTGTCCCACATTCTTGCTCTCTTGATGATTTCAAAGCTTTCTTCACACTGTTATCTATACGTAATTATGCAAAGAATTAGAACTACAGTCGAACCTCTATTAAGCGGCCTTCCATTAAGCGGCCACCCTCTATTAAACGGCCACATATCGAAGTCCCGAAATTTTTGTAATACAAATACTATAAACTATCCCTCTATTAAACGGCCACCTCTATTAAGCAGCCACGGCCACCCAAAGAGCTGTCGCAAATGATGTTTTCTGGCAATTTTACCTCTATTAAGCGGCCAGCCTGCAGGATTTTTAGGTAATGAGAACCATATTGGTGTCCTAGTAATAAATTTATGCCACAATAGTCCCTAAATGTTTGTTCAAAAGGTTTAGTGTGAAATATGATAGTGTGATGGCCTCGTGTTGTTGGCACAATGTATGCCTGTGAAAAAATGTTATGGTAGATGAAACTGAGAATTAAGAATAAAATCACTATTGTATTCTGTGATTTATAATTAAAAATAGACATTTGACTACGCCCAGGGTCTATTATTTGCGTACCTCTATTTAGCGGCCACCTCTATTAAGCGGCCACAAAGCCGATCCCCGAGGGTGGCCGCTTAAAAGAGGTTCGACTGTACCGTATTTACTCGTTTAAGCGCCGTGGCGCTCTTTAAATTTTTAGAGCTTCAGATGTGCTTGTGCACATTAATTGTGTCTTTTTTTTGCTCTTTCGGTCATTTTTGCTCTTTTCGCTCATTCCGGGGCGGCGCTCAATTGGGAGCGGCGCTCGTTAAAAAATATTTTATTTGTGACTTATGACAAGAACTTTTAACTATAAAATAGACAAGTTTTAAAAGGTTTTTGTTACTAAATGTCCCCATTTTGACGGCGAAAAGTTTTAACACTGTTTAGTGCGGCCTCATTCGGGGCGGCGCTCAATCGAGTAAATACGGTAATCAATTTTGGTAACAGATATATGAAAAGTGCTATATTGAAGTTTTCGATGACTTCTGGAGTGTCAGAATTAATCTCGTATATCGGAAATTACGGGAACCGACAAAAATAGAATAGAAATTTTAATGATCAACTCTCCACAAAATGGCTTTTCAGAGCTAATTTACAATGTTAGATAGAGAATAGAAAAAATAATAAATTAACTATTTACAATCTTTCAATGTTCCAATACACGTTACGATAGGCTACAGTATATATAACTATGAATAAGCAGTTAATATATAAAGTTAAAAACTACATAATTCGCGTTTAATTTAAAAGATGTCGACGTTTGTCTATTACGTGTCTTCGAACTAAATAAGTTCCAGATAGTCACACCGCGATAGAAAAAAGATCGTTGCGCAGGAGTTTATCTATTAGTCGAGTGTCGATAGTTAAATGTCGAGGGCGAGGGTAAAATGTCGAGGGCGAGGATAAAAAGTCGAGGGTGAGGGCAGGGACGTCGCTATAGGGGTGTGTGTGGGGGTGTAACCCCCCCCAATAATTCAAAAATGTTTTTGACTATGTTTTTGACTATACTTATGTTAGTCTGGAAAATTTTTTTTACCCCCGCTCGACAACATTTTCGGGAAAAATTTGTACGACTTGGTCAAAATCCTAGGAAATGTTGACGAAACAAAACATGACGACACACCCCCAATGTTGATGGCTTGCGACGTCCCTGGGTGAGGGTAAAAAGTCGAGGGTTAAATGTCGACTCCTAAATGTCGAGCGTAACATGTCGAGGGTTAAATGTCGAATATTACATGTCGAGTGTGAAAAAATCACAAACAAAATCACTATATTAAGGTCAGGTAACCGCTTCAGATAAGGAAATAGCGAGGTCTATATATGTGTCTTCTCTGCAGTATTGTTATATGAGCACTTTTAAACTAAATAATCAAACCTATAATATGCGTTCTACGCATATATACTACGTGGCGTATTTTGCGTTTTAAATGTACTCGTAGTTAAGCATCACGTTTGCGGGAACGGCATTTTGTTGGCCGCCGAGAATTTTTGCTTAACCTCTTCGCTTCATCTTCTCGTTCTTATCTCAAAAGAATCATCATATAGAGTTCATTTCCCATTTATTACCTTGTAGCGTAATTTTTTTCTTCCCCTGGCGTTTGCCATTTGGCGTTTGCCATTTGACGTTTGAACGCGCGAAGCTTATATAAACTCCCTAATATGCCTTAGCGTGACTTTGCGTCCTTATGCATTTGCATGCAGCCGTGCAGACAGCAATAGAATCAGTTATATATTGTTTATTTTCTACACAAACTATATTACATACTAAGAAGGGCGCTTTGAAACAGAACAAAGGGGCAATTAACATCGCAACTTGATATGTATACAAGGTTCGTTTGTAGTACACTTGTACAGGTTGTGCTCCAACATGCATCAAATTGTAGCTGATAATCAATTAAACAGCAATTTGGTCTAACAATTTATAAAATATGTTCCTGACTGCTAACAATTAGCCTAAATTTGAGCTTGATTGCCGAGATACAAGATTAAGAACCGCTTTTTGGGGATCTTAAGGATACGATCAATGACCTAGCTTCACATTTGTCTATAGTAGGCAGCAATCTAATATCAAAGATACAACGATTTAAATCTATAAGTACAAAAGCTTAAAGTCGTATAGCCGTTTAGGAAAAGTGTTCCATAGGTTTATTGAGAAATGAACCTTAATATATGTCGCCGTATTACACGTCATGAATAGCAGTATATATACTGCTAGATTTAAGAGGGCCTCGCTGCCTTGGCATGGGTTGTTAAATATACTTTTTATCCCTCTAAATAAGCAAATTCCTGCCCTTGTAGTAAGTAGCCTTGTACTTGCAGTATTGAATTAGTTGGAAGACTTACCTATGGATATGTAATATTTTTGAGATATATATCAGCTTGGACTTCGAAGCCACAGATGTTGCATGGAAGATGGATACATATGCATGAAGATTAAGGTGTGTGTTCAACTAAAGAGTGTGGATGCATGCATGCAGAGAGATCTTATTAAGATATGCAAGATATAGTCTTTATAATACTTGCTTGAAAGCAAATGATTGGACCAAGCAAATCAGAATCAAACTAAATTTGTATCGGAATACCCAGAAATGAAAACAAAGAAATACGGCAATCTTTGTTTCTCGAATATTCCGGCGGTATAGTTAAGCAGGGACAATGGTTTCATGCGAGAATGATTATTAGAAAGAAAAGCTTAGCGTCCTTTATTTATAATATACTGGATAACTCTATCAGTTCTGTACTGACTACTGGTATCTGTAGAGTTCAGTGTTATTATACAGGAGAAAATGTAACCAAACTAACTTTATTTGTGCTGAATAGCTTGATCACTTCTAAATGTTCCTTTCAAGAAGTCCAATAAGGACCATGCATGCATTCATGATTCAATGGTTTTGAGCCACAACAAGTTTAGTCCAAATATATATATATATATATATATTGCTTGGTTGTTGGAGCCAAAACGAGTACAGTGCTCGATGCGGGAAATTCGCAGAGCTTAATATGTTGTTCAAAAT